CCTTGTGGTCGACGATGATCCTACTTGCCTTATGATCTTGGAGAGGATGCTCAGAACTTGCCTCTATGAAGGTACTCTTTTCTGAGTTTCTCTCTCTCTCCCTCTCTCTCCCCTCTCTCTCTCTAGAGACTTTGCTTCATGGGTTTTCTTCAATCCTTCTGTAGATGTCATTTACCTGTCTCCCAACATGGATTTATCGTTCTTGTGGGTGATTTACTGCAAGTTTTACCACTTGGGTTATAATTACTTGTGTTTTTCATGCTGTTGTTTAAGGGATTTGGAGCTTGTGGTAGAAGTTAAGATTTGGTAATTGATATCTTTTACTGCTTAAGTTGTGATTTTGTTTGGATTTGAATCATGGGTTGTGTTAAATTTTGTTACTTGCTCTCCAGATGGTTTGAAATTGTACAGTGTTAATTTTTTGTTTTTAAAAAGGTTAATCGTCTTGTTCCAGAAGTAAGATTTGAGTTTTGGTTTGTGTCTTTGTAGATTCATAGCCCTGTTTTATTAATTTTGTTCTATAGTTTGTTTATTTACTAAATTTGTGGATTGATTGAGTTGGTTTGTTTGGGATTTTTTAGTGACAAAATGTAATCGTGCGGAGATCGCACTTTCGTTGCTTCGAGAGAACAAGAACGGATTCGATATTGTTATCAGTGATGTGCACATGCCAGACATGGATGGATTCAAACTCCTAGAGCACGTTGGACTGGAGATGGACCTGCCTGTTATCAGTGAGTTCCTCGTTTGAGTAATTTTGTGTAGATTTAACTATTGTTAACCGGAATCGTATGTGTTAATTTGGAGCTGACACCTGATATGTGTAATTCCACAGTGATGTCTGCTGATGATGGAAAAAGTGTTGTTATGAAGGGTGTGACTCATGGTGCTTGTGATTACCTAATCAAACCGGTTCGCATTGAGGCGCTGAAGAACATATGGCAGCATGTAGTGCGGAAGAAAAAGAACGAGTGGAAGGATGTGGAGCAATCTGGAAGTGTGGAAGAAGGGGATCGGCAGCAGAAACCATCCGAAGATGCAGATTACTCGTCCTCGGCAAATGAAGGGACCTGGAAGAACTCAAAGAGGAGGAAGGATGAGGAAGAAGAGACGGATGAGAGGGATGATTCATCCACATTAAAGAAGCCGCGGGTCGTTTGGTCAGTTGAACTTCATCAACAGTTTGTGGGCGCTGTCAATCAACTAGGCATTGATAGTATGTCTTCTTCCCTATACTCTTCAATTTTATACTTCCTGATTGACTGTAGCCTAATATGTATAAGTGCTTTTGATCCTTTGAGTTTTGCACCTATTTCTTCAACTAGGAGCTCAGTCGGTTTGAATTTATGTACACACTCTTCACGCGAACGGAACGGGAATGCATGACTTTATTTTCCTTTGCTTTATATTTCTTCAACAGTGTAGAATGAATCACTTTATTTTCCTTTGCTTTTGGATAAAGTTGAATCATGGATTTATGTATGTATGATTAGTCGACGCCCGTCTCATTTTGTATCGCAAATTATTTTTAATAAAAATTCAAACTTGATTATTTGATACAGAGGCTGTTCCTAAGAAAATTTTGGAGTTGATGAATGTTCCTGGGCTTACTAGAGAAAATGTTGCTAGCCATCTTCAGGTATGATAATTATGCATATTATAATAATTTACGAGGAGCAATTCTCTTACAATATGAATTTGAGCAAAGTTCTGTTCTTATGTGACATGGTTAAAATATGTTTTTTGTTTGAGAATAACTCAGCGTGCCAATTTATGAAACAGAAATACAGATTGTACCTTAGAAGGTTAAGTGGGGTGTCTCAGCACCAGAATAATTTGAGCAACTCTTTCATGAGTCCTCAAGAAGCGTCTTTCGGAGCAATGCAATCGCTCAGTGGGCTGGATCTTCAGACGCTAGCTGTCACTGGTCAACTCCCTGTTCAAAGCCTTGCCACACTCCAAGCAGCCGGACTTGGGAGGTCAACGACAAAATCAGGCGTACCTATGCCCCTTGTTGATCAAAGGAACTTATTCAGCTTTGAAAATCCAAAGTCGAGGTTTGCGGAAGGGCAACATCATCTGAGCAGTAGCAAACCGATGAACTTACTTCATGGGATTCCAACAACTATGGAGGCAAAACAGCTTGCCAACTTGCACCAGTCTGCACAATCTCTTGGGGCTGTCAATATGCAAGTCAATGCTCATGGAGTCCAGAACAGTTCTCTACTTATGCCGGTAGCTCAATCGCAGCCAAGAGGGCAGATCTTGAATGAAACTTCTGGAAATCATGTTCCACGGCTCTCATCTTCAATGGGGCATCCCATCATGTCTAATGGTATGAGTAGTGGAGTTTCGGGAAGAAATGGAATGGTTGATAGCGGCAGAGGCGGAGGATATAATCCAATGCAACAAAACTCGTCAATTTTGAATTATCCCCTGAACAGCAGTTCACAACTACCATGCAACAGTTTTACTCTTGGAAGTACACCAGTAATGTCCAGCCTCACGTCTAAAGGAGCATTTCCAGAAGATGTAAATTCTGACGTAAAAATATCTTCTGGATTTATGCCAAGTTATGATATGTTTAACGAGTTACAGCAGCACAAATCAAATGATTGGGACTTGCAGAATGTGGGATTGACTTTTGACCCCTCTCAACATACAAACTCCATGCACAATAGCCTTGATCCGTCAGTTTTAGTTCATCAAGGATTTTCTTCTAGCCAAAGAGGTGGACAAAGCAGGAGTCCAACTACCGTCGGAAAAGCTCTGTTCTCAATGGGCGAAGGCAGTCATCTTGGGAATGTGCAAAATACCGGTCAACATCTTAACGGTTTTGTTGTTGACAATACAGTTAGGATTAAAGCTGAAAGTGCCCCCGACGCAACTTCTCAAACTAGCTTCTTTCATGAACAATACGGTCAGGATGATCTAATGAGTGCACTTCTCAAGCAGGTCAGTTTTTTGCCTTTATTCCATTTTACGGTATTTGAATTTTTAGATACATGTTTCGAGCTATCAAGGGCATTATTTACTCATGAAAGTTCTTTTGTTTTTCAGCAGCAAGATGGAATTGGACCCGCTGAAAATGAGTTTGACTTTGATGGGTATTCCTTGGATAATATTCCTGTGTAGAATGCGCTCCTACAGTATTTTGTATGATTGCAGATCTGGTGTACATAATTGCGGCAATGGAAGTCGTTTCTTCTGCAATCTGATGGTGGATATTCAAGTTTGTTTCTACATCAGAGAAAACCAGAGTGCGTAATTTCACAAATCATATCTTTCGTTGTGAATATCATGATCTGCTGTTTTTAGGAGATAAAAGATGAGGATGATGGATAACCGAGGTGGATCGAACATGTCTAAGGATATTTGTTATGCACAATACTGCTGCATGGTAGGCAAAGCATGCATGCAAAATTTAGAGGGGCTAGAAAGAAGCATCGTTTTCTGGGGTGCCGGTGAAACTTGTCCTCGGTTTTAGGCTCATCTTGAGTATTCTAGGGTAGGTTTTGATACTTCTTCTAACTCTAATAACACATGAAGCTTGCCGTTGGTGAATTTCTTCTGCCCTGTCCTTTGTTCCGTTTCGTTCTCGTTCAAGGAATTGAGTTTGATGTACATATATTCTATTTGGTTACTCAAGACATAAGTCGGGGGTATTCTTTTCTGGTTGTTTTTCTTGTACTTCAAATTTCTAGGAATTCTTGTATGTCCTCTATTCTTAATAATCTTCTCCTATCTTAGTACATGGTTTTTCTTATTTATTTATTTATTTTTGAAGTAGGGAGAAAAACTTCGGTGTGTCTGTCCGACTAGTGCAAGCTCTCACACCACGTGGAGCTAGTGTAGGGTCGGGTCAGATTGAAATACATGAAGTTGTGTGCTTTTACAAGAGGTGCTAACGAGGTGGTCCTAAGTTTTATGCTAGAGTTACAAATGAGCAATGCTAGTGGTCATGTTTCACTATTTTTAGGCACTAATTGGAAAAGGTGTATTGACTTGTGCTGGAGGGAGAGAAATGGGCAAACGGAATAATGCAGCATGAAGTGGTCGGATAAGATAATAAGAAGTGGTCCACATTAATTAAGCATGAGCTTTGGAATCATTCCAACTGCCACCAAAAAGAAGCAAAACAAAAAAAGGAAAGAGCCTGCAGAATAGAATAGAATATTAACAAGGAATAATTTCAGTTGAACAAGTCGCCAAAGTTGGTTAGGTTTTCAATTAAACAACACCTCTCCTTCTTCACAACTAGCGACATGAACTTCTTCAGTTCTGTGCGGGCTTTATTTTTAGCTACCCTCGTTAAAACACAAATTTCGTTTCACTTTGAATTTGTGAACTCTCATTCCTGAAATTCAAAAGTCGCCCTCAGAAACTTGTGTGGGACCCATCACTTAATAAGATTGTCACTTGCCAATGAATTTGATTATAAACCTCTATTGTGTGTTAACATTCAATAATAATAAAAAAAAATTAAAATCGAGTTTTAAGGATAAAATGACAAATTTAACATAAAATATTATAAATCTCCATTATGCGTTAACGTCCCACATAACGGAATTAACAAAATTAAAGCAATATGAAACGAATTTTGAGTTTTATAGAAATGACGATTTTTTAGTTTTAAGGAGCAAAATAAGATCCAAAGTCAAGTTCCAAGGGGCAAAGTTGAGCGAATTTTGAGTTTCAGAGAATAAATTGGCAACTTTTGAGTTACAAGAGATAAAAGTGAAAATAAAATTGAGTCATAGGGAGTGCAACTAAAATAAAGCCTTGGTGCAATTACCACTTGAACTTAAAAATAGGATAGGGCTATTCACACGTTCATTTTCACCTCTCACACACCCTTATTAATTTTTTGTCATTGATTTTCTTTAATTCATTCAATCCGGCAACTGAAAATTAAAAAATGTGTGTGAGAAGTAAAAATGCACATGAATAACACTAGGGAAGAAAAAGCGGCATAAACACTAGTCTTGGAAACATTAGGGTGAGTCTAGAACGAGATTATATTATCACTTCCACAACCAACAAAGTGTAACAAATAACAAAAAAGAATCAAGGACAAGCATCTAGTTCAATGTATATCGTTTATACAAAATATGAGAACATTAGCTATATATAGTTTCGCTGTTACTTTGCGGTGTGTCGATCCTCCCTTCAGTATTTGCAGATGAAAAGCAAAAGAATACCAGCCGCAACCAAAATCCGCCTAAAAACATCTTTAAGTACCGGCAATGCCATGCACGCCTTCTGGTAGTTGGGATTTCGCAAAACCACCCCGTTGAGCACGTATCAATCTAAACCACCGAAAGAATATAAACATCAGCAGTAGCTACGAGATCTAGCATTGCCTCATCCCTCAGCTCTACTGCTGCATCACCATAAACGCTACAACCATTACGAGAACCGAGAAAATTAGAGATGTGCTTTTTCTGTAACCACTGCTAGGATATGCTGTAGGAAGAGAGCACTCCTCCCCGTTAAAGTATACTTTCGTCGGAAACCCATCTCCACCAACCAAATTGATTCCGGGAGTAATCTTCTTTGTAAACGAGAGCACTGACTGCTGTTTCCCAGGCACCCTAGGATCCTTCTTTGGGTTGGCTCCATCTGTTTCCGCCACAAGATAGTTCAATCCTTTGAGGCCTTGCATGAATACGGTATTATTGACACCATTAATTTCCAAGTGACTTGCGTTGAAAGAGTACGCCTTTTCGAAACCAGGGCCTGCTTTATCCAGTTGTACTGCAGCGAACCAATCAACAAAAGCCGTTTCATCCCAATTGAAGACTGTGACTCTTGCACTCCATCCACGAGAGTAGTCTGTATATAAATGCCAGTTGATGCTGATCCCACAGTTATCACCACAAGGTGTTGGGTTTGGGACTGGTAGATGTTTAATATCAGCCCAAGATTTTGCCTTGACAGTTCGGTTGTCAAAGGGAACAAGAAGTGACTTTGGTGGGAGAAGCATAGCTGGTGCAGTTGTGCTACAAGTTCGAGCTGTATTACTAGGGCAGCCACAAGCGCAAGTGTTGCATGGGACGACAGAATCATTGTAGAAAGCAGAAAATGAAACACAGCAACTAGGGATTGCTCCTTTGGGTTGGGTAATATTGCACACAACCTGCCAGCTGGCTACTGCAGATATATTCACTGGCAAGCCAGATCGGTCAGGGAACTGACTGGGACTCACCCGGACAGGAGGGCCACATTTATAATCAGGGTTGAGCGTGCCTTTGATTCCCCAGTTTTGTGGCGGTGAGAGCTGGGACCGGTTGAGATTTGGAGGCATTTTAAAAACTTGCATCTGGAATGATGAAACTGACTTGCTTGCATCCATTGTTGGTGGCAAGATAGTACCATTTCGGCAACAATAAGGGACCAGACCAAGAAGTGTGTCATTGGCTTTTGTTGGAGGAAGGTCAATAATTGTTGGCCGTCTTTCACAATTCAATACAGTTGAGAAGTCTAGATTCTCGTAGAATGTACCTTGTTTACCGAATATACAATCAGAAGAATCAACAACAGATGGATAAGCCCCTTTCGTTGAAAATATGAACTCATCTTCCATCCAGTCCCAGCTCAGTTTCCAATTATCAAGACGACCAAGGGAGTTATGGTTGGCGATTGTCACTTGCGCCGTGTAATCTGTTGCCCGAGTACTGATCACATCATACATAATTGTAAGATCTCCCTTTTGACGGGGGAGGAACTCTTCATCCACAGTGATGTTCGTTTTGAAATTTGCGTCTACGGTGCAACAGACTTGCATTTCATGGGTCCCTGTAATGAACATTATCAGAGCAGTGTATGAAAACCCAACTTAGTGTATGAAGTAAAACATGGGGTCGACATTAAGCATGCTCAACTAATGTTTTGTGGTTCAAGACATTCTCTGTCGACTATCAAACTTTCCTAGTGACTGAAGGCAAGTCAGCAGCTTTGAGGCAGTTTGCATAACAGATGCATATCCTAAGGAGACTCATACGGTCCACCTCGTACCGAAATAAAATGTTCAATAAATGACTAAACAAAATCGAAATACCAAGTATTGTCTCATCAAATTCAACTCATTTTATACAGTTAATTGCAATAAACATTCAAAAGAGCTATCAAAAGTATTCAATTCACAACAGCTAAATCTAATCTGTATACTCCAAATCAAAGTCCATCAAAAACCAACATCCAAAAATGTACCGAAAGAACACAAAAAATGAAGTGTAACAGCTCACCTTGCATTGCAGCCGCTGGGCAGACGAACCCATCATTGGCCAGAGTAATATTGGAAGGCATGGGAACTTTGGGTGGGGCCACACCGAACTGGGTCCCGATCAATTTGACCTGAACCTGCATCTGGGCCAAGTCCCCCGCGGTCTTAACCGCCGTCTTCAGATCGGTCATCGGATACCCAGCAAAAACGGTGCCGTTTCCGACACCCCCAGGGATACTAGTACCGTCGGCCAAAACGGCATTGGAGGCAGAGACCAAGTACTCCTTGTTGGTAAACCCCACAAACACCCTCCACGACTTGAGATCGTCGAGCCCGTTGTTGAGCACCGTGAGAACCGACTCAAACTTGTAAGGCTGCTGTTTCGGGTCTTTGACCTCGGGCGGGAGCTGGGCTCCGGTATTATAGGCGTAGGACAGGAAGACGCCGTTGCAGGAGTCGGAAGCCGGCGCCGGAGCTGCGGCGGTTGGCTGGGCGAGTGAGAAGGGCAGGATCGCGAGGATAATGAAAAGATTGAGGGCCATGATCGGAGGCCAGTTCCTGAAGCCCGAGTCCATGGCTTTTGGTTTTCTTGGGGTTCTCCAAAGTTTGGATTTTTGAATTTGGAGAAACAGATAGGGTTTATATATGTGCGACTGTTTCTGCGTGCGCTTTTTTTCAAACGCGTAGACAGAGAGAGAGAGAGAGAGAGAGAGAGAGAGTAACGTTGGATAAATTATGTAATATTAATACAGCATAGTGGAAGCTGTAATTTGACAATATTGTTTTGTTTAAATTTTTTAAAATATATGCTTTATGTATTTGTTGCCGTCTTTGAGTGATTCAATTTCAAAGGTTGGTGGATTTCGGTTTATGTTTGAAAGCAAATGGCAAGAAAGTGCGTGTGTAAAAAATACTAGTGTTAAGACTGCTGCTTGTGTTTGTTTTGAGCGTGAAAAGGTCCTTTTGTCTTTGTCTCAACGAACCTTTCCCCTCTCTTCCTATTTGATTTTGAATCCATGTTCGTTAATCGGTTAAGGGAGCCGATCGCTTCGGATGAAAATGTTCTCTTATCAAACTTAAGTTAATAGACAATTAAATTGTGTATTTATCAGTCGTACGTTTAGGACAATGGTTACAAATAGAATGCCCAAACAAAAATCAATACGATCAAATTCTCGATTCACTGTCTATCAATATAAGTATCTTATGTTGTCAGACAATTTGTAAGAGAATAACGCTGTGAAAGAATTTTGTTTCATGTAAATAATTGGGTAACCAACAAAGTCTATGCATGTCAATCTGTTGCGGGCACGTCCTTTTGTCTGAAGCTCATAGACACCAAAACGTGGCTCACTCGTTTGCATTTGGATCTATATGTTTTGTTAATGGACTCGGCCTGGTTTTCCACAATCTGACCATTGCGGCCCTTCACATGGACCCAATTTTGAAAGTCCTCTACATGCAGGTCGTTTTGAGGGGTGCAATTTGGGTTGGATCAAAATCTTATTCTGTTTATGTTTAGTTTGATTTTAAACCCGATTCAGGCCGGCTAGAATTAAGTAAAACCTCGTTTCAACGCCACCCAATCTCAATTGGTTATTTATTGGGTTGAGTTGGACTGAGTTGGGTTTATGCTTGTCTGTCCATGTTAACTCAAATCTAACCCAAGTTATATTCTGATTTCTTTCAAACATAATACACACTTCGCTTCATATTATACAAGCTACGTATAAATTTTGGGAGGAAATTACTTGAATTTGGTGGTGATTTTCATTTGGTCAATGATTGATGCTATTTAGTTTGACTTTTGTGTGAAGGTTAATTTATGGAATTGAATTCTAACTAGTACTGATGTTATCTAGTTCAAACTTTTGAAAAAATCTTTTAGAATAAGATATCAAAATATTGAACTTGATAAAGTTGAGCAATCCGAATAAACCTAGACCTAAATGAAACTTGAACCCGAAAGAGCCTGCATGAATCCAAACCCAACCCAAGTCCAAATTGTGATAGTTGAATATTAGAGATCAATTGACATTCAACCCGCCTGAGTTGCACCTCTAAATCTTATCGTAACATATGAATATCTTGAAAAGGACTTTTGTTGTTACATTAAACTATGAAGATAACCTTATAGATTAAATAATTATTTTGATTAACCAATATCCGTCCAATTATGATATTTTGTTTGGACCCTTGGATGTAAGACGTTTGTTATGACCATCAACTGAAAGAAAAATTTGTTGTAAAATTATACTAATCTCAAGTTATATACCTTTTTTTCCCAAAAAAAAAGGTTATTATTATTATTTTTAGGGGGAGGGAGAGGATTTGAAACCAGTGGCGAAGCTAGAAATTTACAATAATGAGGCACAAATAAGAAGCTTACAAAAACTAAATATACTTTTATTTATAATTGGCAACAACATATTCTCATATTTTAAAACATTGTATCACAACATCATTTACAATAGAATCAAATACATTTTTCATTACATATAACCAAGTTATTATTCGACCATTGACTTCCATTCATTTTTCATTGTATACAACCAAATTATCATTCAATCATTGATTTTCCACACAATATGTATCCTTCACAATGGTGGTCACAAAAAAAGCTATCCCTATTGTGGATAGGCAGTAGTTTTGGAATGTTTTAATTAAAAAATATTAATAAATGGTCTCTCTATTTTGCTTTCCTTAGCTATTACAGGGTCATATAAAAATTCAAACAGGAGATATTCGAAGTTGTTGGGGTCAATGGCAGCCAATGTCTTTATGTTGGCTCCGCAACTGTTCAAAACTACTACAATAATTAAGAAGAGAGCAAGTTTTAAATCCAAGACGCATAGTAGATACCCAACATCCTATATCTACTGTTGGACCATATGCATCTCAAGTTGTACACCTAAAAAACTATTGATTATGCTACAGTGTTAGTACTAGGGTTAGAAGATGAAGAGACAGAAGGGTGAGACATTACATCACATGTGACCTCTTAGCTACAAGTCACTCAACGGCCGTCAACTCACAAGGGTCAACCTTTAACCAGTTACACAAAAAACGGACATCAACTATTGAAATTGAAGGAGGACAATAATACTTTGATGATTAGGGACGGATATACCTTAGTGGAATGCATTAACTCATTAAAATTGACCTCTCATTCCACCAGCAAATTAAATGGTGATTAGGACATAATAGCAAACAAGGAAATCTATTACGTCACCATTAATATATATCCACTCAAGTGAGTTTTTTGCATACACAAAAACGGATATTACAATTGTAAAGAAAAAGTTCTCTAGTCTATTACTCCGTTGATCAAACACAATCTTTATAAAACAAAAGGTTTACTTACACACACAACTAACATCAATTTCTCAATCGTCAACCGTTTGTATGCATGTGAACGGGTAACTCTTATGTATCAATCAAGGACGGAACCAAGAGTTTATTACAAGATGGGTTAGCCTGAATGTGGTTTCATTTAGTGGTATCAATCAACCCACTGCGGATCCTTAATGTGCAATGTTAGCAAGGTTATAAAAGACACTGAGCGCTAGTTGGGGTGACTAGGCTGGGGTTTAGACCAATTAGGTGGATTTAAGTAAATTTGTTATATATCATATAAATATATAAGTATCTGATTATACTTATAAAGTACATAATTTCATTGGAATACATAAGTTGCAAAATAGAATGACATATAGATTACAAAGTATTAAAACATAGTGAAAATATGAGAACAAGCATATAATGTGTGTTCATCTAAGTATTCAAGAAGTCTCTTACAATTTATTGAAAAAAATAAAATGCAAAATGAAAGATACATTTTCTGTCTAAGTGAGAGTCGCAATCTAGGCGCATGTTTAGGTGGGTCTAGACGGGCTAGGCAGGTGCCTAGGCAGGTCTAGGCGCCCTTCTTAATTTTCAAACGCCTAGTGATTAATCGGAACGGTGACCTGCCGTCTAGCTTTTAGACGAGACTTAGGTGGCGCTAGACGAAGATTTTTAGGACAGTGAACGTTCAATGGCCACCAACCACTAACATATAATTGATTAAAAATAATGCATCATGTTACTATACTAGACATGTGTTTTGAGAATAAAGCGTGAATGAAGTTCTCCTCAGAGAAATCAAAAAGGGGCCAAGAATATTATAGCAAGTGAGACTGCCTACCGCACATGCAACTACCTTGTCCGATAGGTATATGCATGATCAAATCGATCGAGGTCCCCTTTTCACTTTTGTTTGAAAGCCTATGTGAGATGCTTGCTTAATCAATGTCAAGGTAGAGGGGCCAATTAGTAACTCACTTTTGGATCGGAATATTTAATTTTCATGCATAATCCTATGATTTCATGAAGTGATGTATGTATTACAACGCTAATGGCAATTAGACAAGGTGTATAATCACAATTTGCTCTTATTTAGTTTGCATCTGTGCTCTCGAGAGGTTTTTACGCGTATTTAAAGTATATTTTTATGTGAGTATAGTATTTATTACATGTTTACTATTTACGTGATGTGCGATAATCATGCCTTTTTTTGGTATGCAATTGTAAGTGAACCAACCTATATATGAAGTATGAATTACCCGGGTTTTGGATTTTGGATTTGGCATCAAACTAGGCTATATTTCACACTTGTAAGAACTTAAGAAAGGTATCATGATTCACACTATTGAGGCCAAGTACATGGAAGCTACAGGGCCAGTAAGAAAAAAAAAAAAAATAATGAAAAAGGCTTGAAAACTTTGAGTTTTAATGATAAGAATAAAATAAAGGATAAAGTGAATAGTACCGGATTTGACTTTAGTGTAAAAATGTAATTTTTCGTTAAAATGAACAGTATCGTGAGTTTTTTGTTAAAACTTCCAAAAAAAAAAAAAAAAAAGCAAAAGGCGATCACAAACAGTGAAGTCCACGATTCTTTCAATTTTATATTTGAAGCTTTTTGTAATTAAACATTAATTTTCATTTTCTAATTAGAATTTAATATGCACATCATGATCTTTTTACCTTTAATTAGAAAGTACTGGCCCGGCTGGGATTTCTTTGAAACCTTTGTAATACCACCAAATCTGAACTAGCAATATATTCCACCGCACGCCTTTCTTCTTCTTTTTTTTTTCTTTTTTTTTTAAAGAAATGCTGTGGGAACTTTCTTGAAAGTGAGATACTTTTTTTATGAATTTTTTGCTTCTTTCTTTTTCTTTTTTTTTAAGAAATGCTGAGGGAACTTTCTTAAAAATGGGATACTTTTTTTTATGAATTTTTTGCTTCTTTTTTTTTATTATTTATTTATTTTTTTAAAGAAATGTTGAGGGAACTCTTTTAAAAGTGGGATATTTTTTTATGAATTTTTTGCTATCTCACAGTTAAATGTTTACTCTCGTGGTAACATTGTGCCAAAAATATGAAGTGTAGAGAGTTTATGAAGAGTCTCATTTTTTTAGAGAGTCTCATCAGCTTTTTTTTTATTTTTTATTGATTTTACAAATGATATTATTATATTAAAATTATTTAAATCATGGAGACGAGAATTTAAACTTTATGCAAATAGTGAAATACACTACTATCTAACTAACTTGACTAAACTTAAATTTACGCGCATTATAACAATTAATTAAAGAATGTTAAACATGATTTTTCTTTTTGTTGGAATGCAAACATGGTTAGTATTTCCACTTAATATTTATACATCGAGATGGAATTAAAGAGATAAAATAAAATTAAAGAGACAAAAGGGCCGACATCTTTCAATGATCTTTGTATAGACTAGTTGCTCCTCCAGAGTTAATTTGGTAAAGCAGAAGTGCATTTTTTAGTGTTTTGTGACCACTAATTGTCCACTCCAACAGCCAGCTGGAAAGTTCCATGTGGAGATTGTGATATGCTTATAATATTTCCAAAATACATATTCCATGCATGGCACAAAATATACGTTGATTTGATTAAATTATAAACTATAAATTAAAAACCCATTGAGAATAATTATTTACCAGTAACATTTATGTAAATTCATAGGAATTTATCTTAGCCTAAGAAGTTGGTTGTTCGTCGGTTGGCACCAAATGGCAAGAGAGGCTCATTCATTTCCCTCCCAGTAATGCCAATTCATTGCACAGAAATCAAACACAATATTTTAAATAAAAAAATAACAGTTCTTAATCATTTGAGTTACAAATTTCGTATATTTTTTCGGTGTTTTAGTTAACATCAGAAAAGAAATTCCGTGACAGTGAAGCATTTTATTATATTTATGTTATGCAGTAGAATCGGGTTCCTGTTTGTTTATTTCTGTGCACTTATAGTTAGCCACGTGAAAAATGCATCACTGCACTCCCATATTAGTGGTGGGCCTGGTGGCCATGTGATCGACACTGCATGCATTATTATTATTACTTATCCAACATTAATTACTAAATGGGGACTCTGAAATTACTCGACCTCAGTGGCCGGTGGGAAAAAAAATGGTATAAGAGCTAATTAGCTGAGTAATAACCGAATTTAACTTATAACAATCTAATTTATCAATTTTTGAACCAAAAATAGCATAATCTTTTTATTTTCTGTGATGCCAGCTGGCCCATATCTATGTGTTCTTTAAAAACTCATTCCTCATCACTTATTTCTTGTCAAGAAGTATTTTGTATTCTGTCGAATATGAACATGTATATAGATATAATACAATGTTGTTCCTACGTGTATAACTTAGACAATTTTAATATTTCTCCTCCATTTTATACCAGATTAAGAATGTATGTGATGTTCCATTGACCATGCAGCTTTTTTAATTATATATAAATGTGTATATACACGTACAAACATTCTAAGACCATCTCAAATCCTTGGTTCAAATTTAAAACATTTAACCTATAAAATTTAGGTTTTAACCCATAAATAATTTTTCTCCTCCAACCCTTGAGCTAAAACCTAAAATTTTTGGCCCAGAAACAGCTTTTCTGCTCCTACCCTTATGGCCTAAATTTTTTAGCCTAAGATTATTAAAGAATAAATTTAGGCTAATTTTTTCTTTTAAAGTAATTTAAAAAAAAATTATGTACACTATCATAATTTAATTTTATGAATATTTCAACCTAAAAATATTTAAATTCTGATAAATATTGAAAAATCACTAAATTTGGGTGAATTTTGAGTTAAATAATTTTTTTAATTATTTAAGTTGTTGGATTTAAATTTGGGCCGTTAGATCTTTTTTTTACCGTTAGATTTGATTATATTCGATCTCAGTCATTGAATTCAATAAATCCTTGGAGACATACCCATGTGTGTCACATCCCGGCCCGGGCGGGACTACGTCCCGGGCCCGACTCCACTACCGTAGCACGATATTGTCCGCTTTGGGCTTACCATTCCCTCACGGTTTTGTTTTTGGGAACTCACGAGCAACTTCCCAGTGGGTCACCCATCATGGGATTGCTCTAGCCCCCTTCTCGCTTAACTTCGGAGTTCCTACGGAATCCGAAGCCAGTGAGCTCCCAAAAGGCATCGTGCTAGGTAAGGATGGGAATATACATTTAAGGATAACTCCCCTGGGCGATGTGGGATGTCATAATCCACCCCCCTTAGGGGACCGACGTCCTCGTCGGCACACCACGACCAGGGTTAGGCTCTGATACCAAATTGTCACATCCTGGCCAGGGCGGGACTACTTCCCTGGCCCGACTCCACTACCGTAGCACGATATTGTCCGCTTTGGGCTTACCATTCCCTCACGGTTTTGTTTTTGGGAACTCACGAGGAACTTCCCAGTGGGTCACTCATCATGGGATTGCTCTAGCCCCCTTCTCGCTTAACTTCGGAGTTCCTACGGAATCCGAAGCCAGTGAGCTCCCAAAAGGCCTCGTGCTAGGTAAGGATGGGAATATACATTTAAGGATCACTCCCCTGGGCGATGTGGGATGTCATAATGTGGGTGGGGTCCATTTGGTGGTGCCCACACCATTTTCTGGGCTAAATCTTGGGGGGAATTTCGTTTTTGTTTGGCTTTTAGCTTTTAGCTTTTAGCCCACACATTTAGCATGGGTTGGGTTTGGAGGGGGAATAAAACCTAAAAAATAGCATTTAGCTTAGGGTTGGGTTTGGTCTTATGGGTTAAATTTTTAGCCCGATGTTATTAAAGAATGAATTTAGGATAATTTTTTTCTTAAAGTAACCTTTAAAATTAAATTATGAAAAAAATTATGTACACTATCATAATTTAATTTTATGAACATTTTAACCTAAAAATATTTAGATTCCGATAAATATTGAAAAATCACTAAATCGACATCATGAAACTTGTAGAACACTATGAAAGATTATGAAACACATAAAATAAATTTTTTAATTACTTTAGACGTTGGATTTAAATTTGGACCGTTAGATCTTTTTTTTTTACTGTTGGATTTGATCATATTAGATTTTAGCCGTTGAATTTAATGAATTTATAAATATAAAACTAAAAAAGAATACACATATATGGTGGGCCAGCCCTCAGGGGGAATTCTGGGCTAAATTTGCCCCAAAAATGAGTTTTGGAGTTGGAGCAAGTTTGAATAAGTTTAGAACCTAAAATTTTAGTTTTATTCCAAGGGTTGGAGTTGGTTTAAGAGACATAATTTTCATTTTTTTGAGGAAAATAAGAATTGTGCATTTAGCTGTACTATCTCATTTAATAAAATCGTGTTGAGGGGCCCAAAAATAGGAGAAATTTTTTATTGTGACGGAAACACGGGTGATACACCATGTGTTTTTATATAAGTGGTGGGAAATTTATTTTTTAAGTTATTAACTTTTTAACACACATATCCCACCATTTGTATAGTGACACGTGGTGTATCACCTCGTATGTCCGTCACACTAAGAAATCTCTCCAAAAATAGAGATCATTTTCTCTTAAATAGCATGTATATACATACACACATATACATTATGCATTTGCAGTTAGCCGCCAAGCTTTGCTGATCATACATATGTCGATCGCAAAAACAAGAAAGCCAAATGCGGATATATATCATTCTCTAGTGCAATAGTACTTGGTGTAGCACGCATATTTGGCTGAATACTAGTAAAAAAATCGATGCACACCACGTGGAGCTTGCGTCTTGATTACGTTTGCGTCACAAAAAATTTCATCCTTCCAGACTTCCAGTTCCACGTATGAACGTCTGTGTACAAGTCAAGCCCAACAACAATGACTGTGCCAATTCCTCAAGCTTTTCACCGTTTCCTTTTCCTTTTTAACACAGCTCATTACTCACTAGCATGGTTATTAGCGACTAATTAACCAGGTACCCTACTGAACCAAGAGGATTTCTCAAACAAATGATCTAGATGTTGATGATTGAATTATTACTTACATACTTATTGATGTGCTTATTTCATATTGATGACACGTAATTAGATTTGCAAATTTAGTTTAAAATATTAATCTTCTTAGCATTATCCAAAAGGAGATACCCTAACATTTCAACACAAAATCATTACTTTTACTTGTGCAACATATTAATTTTGAGTTAGATACGTTTTATAATTACGTATTGAACTCATCAGTTCACGTGCTCACAAGTTATTTAATATGTATTGTTCAAGTATTAAGATTAAATAACATCACAAGTAAAGAGGCACATTAAAAATGTGAATGCTAGGCCAAAAAACTAATGCATCCGTCTCTCTAGTGAGATGAAAAAAAAACAGGGCTCAACTCAACATAACATTGCATGTGTATATATAAGCCTACATCTTTTCACGTGTCAGCTTCTTAAAATCTCTATCAACTCTGATTGCACACTCATAGTACATTTCGTCGCATGTCAGTTAATGGCATTAGGATAATACACTCCATGTAACTGAAAAAATGTTATACACGTCACTGTACCTATACTTATGCCGAAATTCAGGACTCGGGATACCCACCCTACAAATCAAAGGCACCCCACCCCCCACCGCCCATCTATTACCTAATCATTAACCTCAAATTCTGGACTTTTGCCCTAAACGCCACCGATAATACGAGGCCACTTTCTGTGAAAGTAAAACCGCGTCGTTTCGGTGTCTCCTTTTTACAATTTTAAGCTCCCCACTTCCTCTCTCACTCTACACTTTGCTCTTTATACACACCCCTTATTTAAACCCACTCTTACAAAAGGATGTGGTGTAGCTTCAAAGACAAGACACATTTACTACGTACACACCCCCCCCCCCCTCTCCCACTCTCTTAAAGTCTCTCAACACTCTCACTCCTCCACTCTCCCCCCTCCCCCACTCCATTTGGCCATTTCTCAAAAAACCCACCATTTTTTCATCGCCTTTTTCTTCTTGTGTTTCTCCATCTTTCTCAGCTAACCATGAAAATTACTCATCATGCCCACTTCTCTTTCATGCTTCTGCTTCTACTCACCGTCGCAACCACAACGCTTTCTTCGCCGCTGCCGAAGCCCAAAGTGATCTCCAAGGAGCAGATCGAATGCGAAATGTGCTCCGTCTGCGATAACCCATGTGGCCAAGTGCCATCCCCTCCTCCGCCATCTCCTCCCCCTCCTTCTCCGCCTTCATCTCCGCCGCCTTCTCCGCCATCCTCATCCTCATCCTCATCCTCAAACTGTCCGCCGCCTCCGGCACAACCGAGCTCCGGAACCACGTACTACTCCCCTCCGCCACCCTCCCAGCCCACTTACTACTACTATCCACCCCCGCAAGGTGGCAACGGGGGTGGCGGGGGTGCGTTTTATCCGCCGCCGAAGGGCCAGAACTACCCAGTGCCGCCGCCGCCGAATCCAATTGTGCCGTACTTTCCGTTTTACTACTATAACCCTCCTCCGCATACGTCATCCGGCTCAGTTCAGCTGGTGGCTAGCCACCCACTAGTTTACAGTGCTGCTCTGTTTTCTGTTGTTCTCTGTTTGCTTTGACGGACAAGTAAACGGAAAAGGAAGGTGGAATTAATAACGTGGTGGCAGATTCACAGATCTACGACTGAGCAAACAACCGAAGAGGAAGAAATCGAAGACAGAGAGAGATGGGAGTTGCCTACTGCTGGTTTCACATTACCGAAAATGCCCTTGAGGAACAGGTGTTTCTGTGCCCTGACACTTGAAATTAAAGCTGAAAGAATACGGATGGGAAGTAAATTCACTTTCTCTTCATCTCTCTTTGATTTTTCTTTTCTGCCTTTATTTATCTGTCCGAATTATAACGATGATCTGTTGTAATTTGATGGCCAATTTGTACCTATTGTTATTTGGTTAATATGATTATGAAAATAAAGTAAAATGTTAATCATTTTTTGCTAATAATTTGCATTAGCTCGATAGAAATTCTCTGAATTTTGTATTGATAATACGTCGAAATTCTTCCTTTGATACATTATCTTCTAACGTAATTTGAGAACTGTGGAGCTCGATATACATTACTTATTCTTTCTCTGATACTATAAGTATATAATATTTGTCTGCGGAGTGAGGGTACACTTACTGATATAACAAGTGAGTACCTGATTTTATGCAAGATTATCTTTTGACAAAAAAAAAAAAGAAAAAAGGCAATTGGTATTAACAATTGTGTCCCAAGGGGTACCTGATGTTCTTCTTTTGACAGATTAACAATATGGGGACCCATAATTGGTAGGCACCTTCCCATCCCAAGTTTTGTAATTCCATTTTTTTAATGGTTTGGCACTCAAAAAATTCTAATTATGGTTCGGTGTATCCTATTCACATACCTTGTTGCCCGTTATATAATGTTTATTAGATCCTCGACTAATGATCTAACGCGAAAAATTCTGTTGGTATAGCTCATCCCAAAAGATGCTAAAAAATACCCTTCCAGCTTCCGAAGTGCAATGCACCTCTGGCTCTCTGACTGCTTTTGATCACTTAAGTATTTGGGACATGATATTTAGCACGGTGCTCGATTAAAGAGTTGAGCTGAGTCCATATTGCTCCTAATTAGGGATGATGTATGATATCTCTCAGAACTTCCAATTCCAAGCATGATGAGTTCATATCTCTAGACGCATTTTAGGTCAGTCGTCCACGTTCGCATGCATGTACGCCTTGGAGTCACCCATGCGCGTTTGGGCGACTGTACTTGAGAATGATCTTAAGATCATTGCTTTCTAGCTTCTTTGAACCGGAATAGTATGCAAAAGATATGGAAGATGCTGTTATTTCTGACACCAGTTTCTGATTTGATTAAGTAGCTTAGCAACTAAGTCACTGATGAGTCATGAGGCATCTATTTCTTCCTCTGCTGGAAAAAAGGAACAGAAAAGAAGGTTTGAGCATCACAACGAAAAAACTGTGCTCGATAGGCCTCTTTTCACTACGCTTTTCTGATGAATGCGGTGTGTCATGAGAAAAAAATTCAGTGGGGGCATTGTGTTCTTTCTTTGGGCCCATTCTCTCTCACACACACACAAACTTTGTATCGTTGATCTGGCCTCACTCGTGTCAACGTGATTACGTCTTATTAACTTACCCTACATGTTTCACCGCGTGCCACCCTTATATTCTTGAAGGGTGCCATAGTCTTCTCTTTTTCCTTAACTCCATGTGCAAAAGGGTGCATCATGCGTTGCCCTCTTTATACCAATAGTATGAACGTCTCAGAGTGCTTTCTTTTCTTTGACTGAAAAATAGTGGTGGGTTCGGTTTCAGTACAACACAAATAGAAAACGAAAAACAAATCGATAATCGATTAAGCAGAGAGAAAAAAGGGCGACCGTGAAAATGGTGATCGCAGATCGAGAGAAGGTTGAACGGATGGAACTCTCTTTTTGTGTTGGGGGTAATGGTGGAAATCGACAAGAGGAGAGAAGTATGTAAGGGCAACGCAATGCAGAGCTCTGAGCCTCTGATCGATGAGAGAGATTGGGGAGGGGAGAGAGAGAGAGTGTATCGGCGAAGGAGCCCGGGCGAGTCGAAGAGAGTGGTTGCAGTCGAGAGGAGGAGGGGTTGGACTTGTTCTCGTGGAGTGTAGAGACTGAGGAGTCAGGAGTGAACGAGCGTACAACAGCGTTAGTGAGTATTTATCAATTATAACCAAAATTTAGTCTCCAAAATTCACAAATGTCAGCTTTTACAAAATATTTCAAACATAGCAAAAAGTCTGATTGAATTGACCTAAATACCCCAAAATTAAAACCCATATTATTTGGAATTGTCACCAGCTGTCGCTATCCCTTCTTCATCTTCTTCCTCGATCTGTGTAATGAACTAGCCTTCGAGCCAAATCCCTATTTCAACAACTTTAAAAAATACACACCAAAACCTAATTTGGTTTCTTCCCAATTTGAGTGGTAGCCTGATGGGAACTTCCATCCTTCTGGGTTAAAGATTTTTCAAAAATAATAATATTTATTGGTACTGTAGATCCAAATAAGACCAAACAACCGCAATGATTCCTTGCACTGAAAATTGAAATTCAAAACTTTGGCAAATAAAAATTTGAAATTCAAAAACGAAATAGCAATAAAATCTAAGAAATTTGAACATAAAATAAAGAAACTGAGCTGAACTATAGCAATCAGATTGAAAAAGTGAATTTCAATAAATAAATAAATCTAAAAAAAACGTAATATTTCTTAAAAATTAAAACCTAATTGCAAGAAACTGACGCCAATATATACAAACTAGTAACAATATGAAACCCAAAAACTCATAGACGTTAATCCTTTTTTAATTGCTATCCATTTAGCTCAATTACTCGCCTCTGCAGTCTCCATATATTTTCATTTTGTTGAACTTCAATCTCAATCTTTGAACAAATGCAAAAGATCAAGTAGGTTTTAGCTTATGGTTGTAAATTAGTTTTATTATAAAGGTAAATAGGTCTATTCATATTGGTTTTCTGATATATTTGAAAGATATTATAAGAACAGTTCCACCGAAGAACTGATAGGCTAGCACCCAACCAAAAAACCAGCCCGGCACCTAGGCCATCCAATCTAGCCCAGCATTTTGATCGGCACCCAGTCCAAGCTAGCCTCCAGGCCAGCCCAAAATTGATAGAGGTGTGGGCCGACCTATATGACGCCATGTTGACACCAGCATGGTGCCGGAGGCAAGGGTGGAGCCAAAACCGAAAGCATGAGCTGCTAGAATCTCACCTATGGCGTCGTCGTTGTCATCATCCCTATCCTCGATCCTGAACCAGCCACACTGCGCTCTGCATCTTAAGCTCCAGAGATTGTGGCGCTTCACTCAGGTTCCTCAATTAGGGACCGAAGAACTCCAATTTTCAATGCTACTACCACCGCCAGAAGCTGCCGCCTGAGCCACAAAGGAGAAGTCTTGGCCGCAATATCTCCAGAAACTTTTCGAATTCCAACGCTAATGATTCTTTCTTCGACTAGTCCGGTGGCCCCAGCCTCCGCCACTTCGTCGCTCAAGCTGCTCTCACTGGTGCTGAAGCCCAGCCTCAGTGAGTCCACAGTTCACACCCACACACTGTGTCTTTCAATGTTTTTGGTAATTTTTTAGGAATTTATGCAATGATTCGAATTGGGTTGTCTTAGAAATGCTTAAAGTAATGATCTTTGATGTACAATCTGCGAAGAGGATGGTGGCAATGATGATGATGAAGGTGGCGGTGAGTTGGCATGCTCTGGTCTGCTTCATTGGAGGAGCATTTTTGGGGAGTTCAGCAACTGTAAAGTTAGAAATTAAAAATCAAATTATTATTTTTTATTATTTTATAATAGTAATTAATAATATTTTAATAAAATTGACTAGGCTATTAGTTTTAGGGGTGGAGATGCATTTGGTCTATTACTGTTTATTGGGGTCTATCACTATTCACTGAGTGGATAAATGCGATGGGTGCTGGCGCATTTGTGTTAGGGGGGAACTGCTCTAAAAATTGACATTTTTGAAATTAGAGACTAAATTTTGGTTATAAACGATAAAAAGTCGTTTAGGGTTACGGGGTAAGTACAAACAACGTAGTTTTAGGTTTATTCAGTTTTTTTTTTTTTTTTTGGAAACTGGAAATATCATTGACTAGGGCCGAAGCCAAAGAGAGTATAGAAAGCCACACAAGGCTAACAACATTAGACATGAAAGCAGAGAATAAAGGAAATAAATTACGACACAGAGGAGTATAGGTGTTACCCTCAGACCCACTTAAACAAAAGCTAGCTTGGAGGGCATAGTAGCCCATCCTTGTTCATAATACGGACAAACGAAGATGGGGGTCGTTGAACCCAGACTAAGTTGCTCATCTCCGCACTAGGATGCGACACTACATAATCCGCCGCTTCATTGGCTGATCTTGGCACCCAAGACTAGACACACCAATTGAAAGCCTCGCCAACCCCACGAATATCACACAACACCGAAAAAACCTCCCAAGATCCATGGTCAATGCATGCATTTAGCCATGATATTATCTCCTTGGGGTCATATTCCACCATAATACTATGGAAGCCCCACTGTCTTGTCATCACACATCCCTCCAAAACACCCTTCACCTCCGCAGCCAAAACACTTGATGCACAGATCTTCCTACGTACCACCAAGAAGCAAGAGGTCGAATCCCGTATCACGACATCAATATGGCAGTACCCATCCACCCATTTCCAACTAGCATCCATATTAACCTTAATTACACCTTGCCCAGGAAAAGACCAAGGGGTATTGATACGAACGCGTGGACTCAATGAAACCCGCCCACAACTAACCCCTGAGTAAGTTTCCAAGAAGGATAAAGTAGCGAGGGAAATGGCAAGCACAGTTCGCGACAGGGAAGGTTGCCATGAGTTAAAAACCGCATCACACCTTGCTTTCCAAGTAAATGCAACCTATGACCTGATTATCCTCTTATCTTCTACTGGTCTCATGTGATCGTTCCAAATATGTTGAAGCCATGAGTGGAGTGTAGATACCAAATCATTATCAATCTAAAGCCCAAAGCATCCCCAAACCAAACCCTATCCACCCAAGGGCAGATGAGTAAAACATGTTCAATAGATTCCTCCCACTCGGAACACAAAGGACAAATAGAGGAAGAGACACACCTTTGTCGAAATAAATTCATCTTCGTAGTAGTAGCCCCCTAAAGAGTCTTCCACAAAAAGTTCTTAATTTTGGGAGGGATCAGAATCTTCCATATACACTTCCACACCCTTAAATCAACAATTGATGAGGAAGAAGGGCAGAGACTCCGAGACCTGCGATTGATGTTATAGACCTAATGATGCCCAGATTTGACTGTGTATCGTCCCCTTCTATCAGTCAGCCAAACCAGTTTATCCTTGCCCCCAACCACACTGATGGGCGTATCCAAGACTGCC